GCTTACAAACTTAAAACCATAGAGCTTGTATTGTGGCAGAAAAATGCAGGGACACCTTGGAGTTTCTCTAGTGTTGACAAGTGGCAATTAGTGCATGTTATGCTCACTATAGAACATCATCAAATAACAGTGACTTTAGCATGAGAGAGCACTGCTGGTGTGTGTGGCGTGTCGAGTACAGACCCTGTCTCGCGCTGGAGGGCAGGGAGTTGGTGTTGTGTTGAACCGAACCGCGGGAGCCATCGAAGAGCTCACCGGAGCGCTTGTGGTTGAGATCCACACTCCATCGGCCCTGGTGCTGCGGACTGCATAGAACAGACAGGTGTGTGAGTGTGAGTGTGAGTGTGAGTGAGAGTGTGAGAGTGTGAGAGTGTGAGTGTGAGTGTGTGTACCTGACTTGAGTGTATGTGTGTGCTGGAACTGAAGCAGAGTTGGTGGTTTTGACGCAGTGACTCCAGGCCGTGTACACTGGGTTCCTCATCACTGCGGTCACAGCAGGGTAGGGAGACAGCGTTCTGGGAGTGGTGTCTAGACACACACAAATACACCAATAAATGTTTTTGACATCACACAAAGAAAGACAATAATTTTAACATACAGAAGCATCAGGCAAAACAGCTTTTATAATGCTTTGCATTTATAAATGTATTGTTTCAATTTGTTTTAAAAAGTCATACAGAGGAAATCAATAGATTTCACTGAATAGAAAACAGCATGAACATCTACTTTTGTGTTAGGGATGCACCGAATGTTCAGGAACCGAAATTATTAGTCCGAAAATAGAATAAAAAAGCTCTTTCTGTGTTCGAATAGAAAAAAAAAAAAAAAAAGAACGAATAAATTGTACCGAACAATGACGTGACGCGATCAAACAGAGGTGCGCACTAATGCAGCAAACATGCCGGCAGTGTGGAAGCATTTAAAACGGTCCGAGAAAGACGCATCAATCATTACAAGCATCGACAGCGAGAGACTGCTTAGTGCTGCATCGTATGTCTTTGATGAGAAGAGGAAGGGGTTATTGTTGATGGTTACTGTATGATGATTGAAATCGCGAAATGGCCTCAAACGATTAGTAAAGAAACTGCAGAATGTTATGTTTTCTAATACACGCACGAATTGCATGTATTCAAATAGCGCTGCAAGAGCTCGCGGCACCATCTGCTTGTTAACCAGGGTTCAAAGTCCAAAGCGCGAGGAAAATCTGCGCTGAAAGTTACTCGTCAGTTGCTCAGTAACCTTTTTATGAATTTTTACAAGGCATGGATGTGACAATGTGATACGTGCAACAAGCTTCTTCCCAAATTCTTAATGAGAATCATTTATAAATCTGCTGTTGTCAACAAAAAGAAGCACCGAGGTCATCCTGGGGGTTTCCACCAAAATAAAAGCTCCATCAACATTCATAAATGTTTTAGTATTGTAATTTTACTGTTGTTCCGTAAAATAAAAAGACAACAATAATGATAATAATAATTACAACAGCTATATTAATACATTTATTATAACATTCACACAGTGTTCAAATCTGTAATAGATTTGTATCTGTGGGATCTGAAATATTTTAAAAGAAGTCTCTTCTGCTCAGCAAGGCTGTATTTATTTGTACAGTAAAAGAAATACATGCCTGATTCAAGAAGGGGTTCTCAAAAATTACCAAAAATTTTTTTTTACTAACTTATTAATTTTAAGTTACATTTTGCTTTGTTGGTATAATGTCTGCTAGAATGTTTAGTGTTAAGTAAATATTTTTAAATTATTGTTTTGTAATTATTTTTTTCTTTGAAAAGCAAGACAAAAGAGTAAAAAGCAAAATGTGGGCCTTTTATTTATGCAATGGTGAAAAAAACTGGCAAAATACATGGGGAAAATTTGGTTTGGTATTCGGCCTTCGGCCCAGTGTTTCATTTTGTTCGGCTTCGGCCAAGAATTTTCATTTCGGTGCATCCCTATTCTGTGTTCTACATTTTCATTTTTGACTCTATTCTTTCAGCTAACATAATTGTGTCAAACTCACGTGCTTGTACAGGCGAGAAGCTGTGACGGTTTGAACGGAAAGGAGAAAACCGAACCAGATCCACAGGTTCAGGAGACTGTTCATCATGAGAGAAGCTCTGCAGCAGAGGAAAACAGATTGAGTGTTATAAACCAGGTTGACTACCTGCAATGCTACTTCTGAATTAGAGGTACAGTATCAGTTAGGAGTTGCACAGATCAGTTGGATATTATATATTATGTAAATTTTTAAATGTGAATAATAATAATAATAATAACAACTACTGATTTAAATAACTGAAATAAGGAATAATTTGAATACTAATAAAATAAATATTTTAAATAATAAAAAATATATAAATATAAAAATCAAAAATATTTTGTTAAATAATAAATAACTATTTCATTATTGATATTTATCATTTAAATGGACCTCTTTCACATTTCCTGGTTTCTCAGCAGCGGAAGTCGTCATAGTTGGGTTAACTTGAAGAGCAGTGAATTGGAGAGTACCACAAATATATTGTTTGCATTTCCATTTGCTCAAATAGCAAAAGAAAAAAACTCCACGATAGTGTTTTCATGACTTGCAATAAAAGGAAAAAGATTGAGAGAGACTCCCATAGACGCTGCATTAGAAACACCCTCACATTAGCGTTAACTGTTTTTATGTAATTTGATGCAAAGGTAATATAATACAAAGAATAGTGTTATAAATGTAAATACATAAAAAAATATATATATATATAAAAAAACTTTTGAGGATTTATGATGCTGATGACCGTTAAACGCGTCATCACAGTCTTGTGAAAAGGATCCATAACAAATAATTTGAATAATAAGAATATTTTGAATAATAATAAGAATTATTATTATTATTGTAATCCAAAATATTTGTAATTAATATTGAAATTATAAAAATAAAACAAATCAATAAAGAATACTATTATTAAAATATATTACTATTGCAATAAAAATAAATGCGTATTTAATAATACTACTACTAATCATAATAGTTACTATTATAATTAGTACTATTATTATTATTGTTGTTGTTGTTATTGATATTTATAATTTTAACAATAAATAATCAGACTAATAAAATAAAAACGTGTGACTAATAATAATAATTATTATTACTATTATTCTCAAATTTTATTCAAACCAATATTTTAATGATTATTTCGATTCTAAAAATTAAACAGATCAATAAAGAAATATATTGCTACTGCAATAATATTGTTGTACTGCAAAAAATAATAATATTAGTTATTTTACAGAACAATAGTAAAATTACAATCCTAATATTTCTGGCTGTCATTTATTTGATGCTTTGTCTACATGGCTTCAGGTGTGTTTGCTCTATATATGGTGGCAGCAGGAGGAAAAACTCCTCTGGACGATTAGTTGATTAGTAGTTGAGCAGTACTCGAGCAAGTCTGATAACCTGTAGTGTTACAGGTGTGTTTAAGGCGCAGTACCTGTGGAAACGGCATCTTAAGCGGCGTGAGGTTGCGGCGCTGTGCGGGTGCAGAGTTTGGTCTTCCTCTCCTCACCTCCAGTTCATCTGAACCCTGTCCGGACACTTCCTCCGCAAACGACCCTCCGGCGCCGCCAGAGCCCTGTCTCTGAAGCACGTTCCCGTTGCGGTCTCGGCTTTCAAAATCAGGACTGGGTTTGTCTGTGGGCGTGGTCTGAATGGGCGTTGCCGGGGGCGATCCGGTGGTGATGGTGGAATCGGAGGCGGAGCTTCCCTGCGGCTTGTGTTTGAACTTGAAGGAGTCGCTACGTTTGGGCGGGTCCGGCGGGATCTGCAGCGCCGCCTCCGTCCAGGAGCTCTGCGGGGAATGTTTGGGCATCTGGGACAGACTGAGGTAGTCCAGCTTGGAGGACGTCTCCGGCCGCTTGAACATGTCTGCGTCGAATATCGACTTCCGCTTCTTTGGGGTCTTAAAAATAGAGAGCGGTGGGATGCTGTCGGCTGGTGTCATTGCAACTGCTACCATTTTGGGCTCTGCGGGGAATGTTTGGGCATCTGGGACAGACTGAGGTAGTCCAGCTTGGAGGACGTCTCCGGCCGCTTGAACATGTCTGCGTCGAATATCGACTTCCGCTTCTTTGGGGTCTTAAAAATAGAGAGCGGTGGGATGCTGTCGGCTGGTGTCATTGCAACTGCTACCATTTTGGGCCACGTGCCGCTGCTTTGCTTCTGCGGGATGCACCGTCTCTCCTGACTCATCTCCACGGTGATGCAGTCGCCGGGGGAAACGGGGTGAAAGGTGAGGGGTCGTTTGGAGGTGGGATGCGGGCAGCAGATCTCATGATACGGCTCTGAGCGATACAGCGTCCCGCGCTGACCGCGCTCGCTCTCCACGTCACGCGTGGGGCTGTACATGTCTTTATGGGTGGGCTGCTTCCTGCAGGGCCGCAGCTGATCCGCTGACTTCCCATTAGAGCTTCGTTCACAGTCGCGCTGGCTCTCAGCGATGCTCTGACCCGACAGACTCTGTGGGAAAAACTGGGATACGATAACAGAGTAAGCTGTAGTGGTAGTGGAACGGATCGTAGTTGATCCGTAATAGGGCTGCGACGATAAATCGATGCAGAATCGATTCGGAGATCTTCCGAATGCATCACGATTCTCTCTGGAGCTTAGATTTTAACAGCAGATGGAGCTCTAATCTAGCTTTTATCCGCACACTCAAATGCTCATGAAGAAGTGCTGAAGAGTGCTTGTGCGTTCGGTCGAGTCGTGTAATTTCACCTCGGCTCAGAATGCTTTTATGACGCCAGATTAATGTAAACACAGCCCACTGTGAACACCCTTGTAATTCGCTTCAATCTTTTTGAATTTTATGAATGATTATTTTAAGTTTAAATGTGTGTAAGGATTTGGAGACAAGCAGAGTACGGCTGTTTCTAAAGCACGCAGCGCCATCTGCTGTTCAAAACTAAGCTCAGAATCGACTCGAGAAAGAATCGCGATTACGATGAAAATCTCAGAATTGATGCTGAATAATTTTTCGATTCGTTTGACTGCGAACACCGAACTGAACCCTCTTTTGTATCTCATTCACTCCATGCCTTTGAACAAACGCATATACACATAAAATCATGACAAAACACCGATCTCGACAATCATTCTGGTAAAAGCAGTCAGTTATGTCTTAAGTGAACTAGAACAGCTGAGAAAGAAATCGGATGTGTATCATTATATTGGATCCGTGCATCAGGTCTTAAAGGGGCAGCAGCCTAATAATACCTGCTGCTGTCATTATGCCCATCAAACAACAAAACACGTTTTTGACAAAGATGAATTATTTTTTTATTTATAGACTGAACACCATGCAGTGTTATTTTAAACTTAATTATTACATTTCCGTACCTGAATACTACCGACCTTATTTTATTTGTAACATTGTTCTTTTGTATTTATCTATGCTTGTAATTTGTGTATTTGTTCTTATTTTTACTGGCTGTTCACTTGTCTCTTTAATAATGTTTGAACTTTCTTAGGCTAAGAGTGTTTGCTGTGGTATCGTAGAAGTACTTATGGAAAGCAAAGTTACATTGACATTTATTTTTATTTTCTTGCTGATCCGTGGCTCAAAAACCGTAATATGATCCGAACCGTGAGATTTGTGATCCGTTGAACCACTAGTAAGCTGATTGAATTCCTCTCATTAAAAAGGAAATAGACAATCAATAATGTTTCACCTTCAGGAGGGAAAGAGAAACCGAGTCTCTGCAGCTCCGCAGGAGATTCTCACATTCGCTCACGGATTTGTTATCCAGCGAAATCCCGTTTATCTGTCAGAGAAAATTAAACGGTCTTTAAATACAGCATGACATATTCATTTACCTCAGAGATCTCATTCTGTATTGCCTGCATTTATTCTAATCAGCCAATATACATGCAAATCAACCTCTGCTCGATCGACCAGTCAGAGCTTCCCATTGTAGGAGTACCGCCCACTTTTTCAGCAGCTTGGGATCTGGATGCACTTTTCTCATACCTGTTCTCTATAGGCATTTCAAAACTTTAAGCCCTGAACCAAACATTTAGCTCTGACATGAACATTACAAATTATGATATGAAGGAAAAAAGTATATGAAATGAATAAAAGGAAGAAGGTTTTGTACTTTAATTGTTTCTGTATATAAAAAGATTGTGTACTTAAATTCTTCAATGATTGAACATCCTATGAAGCACTGCCATGAAAAATAATGGCAAATATAAAGCAGGCATGTGATCAAAATGACAAAAATAAGGAGAACATGCTTTAACTCATAACAATAATAACAATTATTATTATTATTATTATTATTATTATGAGGGTTAACAATAATATTAATAATAATCATCATCATAATATTATTATTATTATGCAAAGTATCATATTTAAATTATAAAAAAATACAATATAATATAATATAAAAATGAGTATTATTATTATTATTTATTAAAAAATAATATTGTTATTTAAGTTATATAAATTAATCATATCAATAAAAGCATATTACTATTGCAATGCAGTTGTTTTGTAAAAATAAAAAAAGTTTTTGAACAATAGTAAAATTAAAATCCTACTATTTATGGCTTAATTTCTTTACTTTCAAGTGTTAAAGCATAGAGCCTTTATTTTGGCAGAAAACTGCTGGGAGACATTAAAGCTTTATTTATAAACAGATTTATAAATCATTCTCATTTCAAATTGTTTGGAAAAATTTAATATGTTTGTTTAAATAAACTGAAAATGAAAATGCAGCCGTTTTTTCCTCAGATTTATGCAATTCAAGTGGGTCATACTTTAGGTTAAAAAAATAATAATAATATGTACAAGCACTGAAAAAGAAAATCACATCCCTGATAAAACTATTCACAATAAGTTATTATTTATAAACAAAAAAAAAATGTAAGTTTAGAGAGAAAAAAAAGAAAAAAAGTAATTTTCCTCAAGCAGTGTGACAGTGTAGGGATTAAATCAATTACATCACTATCTGCCAATCAGAGATTCCTGGAGAACTGGTGCTGAAGAAAAGAAAAGCACACGAGTAGACTCACATTGAGAAGCCGATCGCCGGGACACACCGATCCATCTCTGGCCGCTGGACTGCCTGGAGAAACAGACGACACAAACACGCCACTCTCCAACCCAATGCCGCAATCTGAAGTACAGACAGACAGAGAGAGAGACTGTAGAGATGAAGAGAGCCGATCTGCTGGACGTCCTGAAAGACAAAGCCCCACGATCTGACCTTTATGTCCCGTCAGCGTCAGATGAACAGAAGTGACCATCCGTCCTCCCAGAGACTTCCTCCTGCGCACCACCATATTGATGACTCCGCCCCCGCTGAACACCACCTTTATGACCTGCTTCCTGTCCTTATTGGCCAGATCCACGTCATTTATCTTCAACAACCAATCATTCACTCTGCCATAAGAATAAACGCTGGTTAGAATTAAGTCTGCAATAAATTACATCACTATCTGCCAATCAGAGATTCCTGGAGAACTGGTGCTGAAGAAAAGAAAAGCACACGAGTCGACTCACATTGAGAAGCCGATCGCCGGGACACACCGATCCATCTCTGGCCGCTGGACTGCCTGGAGAAACAGACGACACAAACACGCCACTCTCCAACCCAATGCCGCAATCTGAAGTACAGACAGACAGAGAGGGAGACTGTAGAGATGAAGAGAGCTGATCTGCTGGACGTCCTGAAAGACAAAGCCCCACGATCTGACCTTTATGTCCCGTCAGCGTCAGATGAACAGAAGTGACCATCCGTCCTCCCAGAGACTTCCTCCTGCGCACCACCATATTGATGACTCCGCCCCCGCTGAACACCACCTTTATGACCTGCTTCCTGTCCTTATTGGCCAGATCCACGTCATTTATCTTCAACAACCAATCATTCACTCTGCCATAAGAATAAACGCTGGTTAGAATTAAGTCTGCACGATTAATCGCATGTGATCATCATGCGCATCTTGTCAGTAAAGCCGGTTCTGTGATCAGTAGTAAATCTCTCGATTTAATCACGCGATAATGAAATCGAAGAAATCGTTCAGCGATAGTGAAAGTTGTTCGCGTAGCTTCTCAGTGAACTACGGCTCTGTGTAGTAAATGCTGCTCCATCTGAAAGCACGTGAAAATACCACATTTAATAACATGTTTTTACTCCATAATCACTTCATAACGTCAGTCGAGTGTTTGAAATAAATCCTTCTGTGAGATGATGTGGCTT